TGACGGTATCTACCTGGAGTTAGTGGGTGAAGGGCTCAGGCCCACCCGAGTGCCCTCACTTCAGATGCTGATCGTACGTCCTTATGGACCTACCCTCTATCCGTGACCCCCTCCTCCAGCTCGATAATTTGCTGGCACGGGTCACAGAACTCAGGAAAGTGCTTTCCTTACTGTTGCCTGTTTATTTTTAAAGGAGACGACTCAGGAACAGCCAGATGGAAGAGATGCGTTGGGCAGGGTGCACGCAGGGCACGCAGAGCTCCCTGCCCTCTCTGGGCATACCCACCCTCCCAGCAGCTTGACGTGTTCGCCAACCTAGCAGCTCTATGAACCCCTGGGGTCGGAACTTTCATGGAGGCTTCAGTGATTGATTAAATCATTGGCGGTTGGTGACTGAACTCAATTGCCAGCCCCCTCCCCTATGCCCACAACAAAAGGCGCCCCTCTTAACCGTATCGTTCAGAAATTCCAAGCATTTTAGGAGCTCCGTGCCAGGAACAGGGGCTGGACTAAGACCAAATACATAGTTCTTATTACGGCACAGTATTCTAGGCCCACAACCAAGTGTAGCTGTCTCATTGACAAGGAGACTACGAGGAGAAGAAAAAGAAGCTTCAGAATAGGCTACGGGGGACGTGGAGAGGGGACTGGAATCAGTGCTCTGGGCAGGGCTGGATCGTGGGCGTGCGACCTGTGCAGTCACACGGGGCGCCGCTCTCGGAATGGACTCAACTCTGGGTTTAATGCTCTGCTTTTGCCGTCTTGAAATTCTTCACATTTTCTCTTTGAACTCGGGTTTCGTGCGGGCTAGCCAACGGGACGACGAAGCATTGCGTGTGAGCACAGAAGATAAACCAGGTGGCAGCAAGAACGGCAGGCAGTGGGCAGCACGCGTGGCGAGCAGTTGGCCTGGCCACCTTGTGTGCACCCACATGGCTGGGCAGTCTGGGACACCGTGGGGCGGCACGGGGCTGGCAGGGCCAGGATCTGTGCCCAGACTGGCAGCAGCAGCAGATGGCCGTAGTCCACCAAGGCTGCGGTGAGAGAGAGCCCCATGTGGATAGCCCCTACGCAAATATAAACTCTGCAGCCCAAGTCCGGGGCAGGAACTGCCAGTACTCATGCAGGAAACTGTCAATAAATTATTGTAAAACCAAAGCATGCACATGGATGTCGCGATAAAGCACACCCAAGAGTGAGACTTCTTCAGAGCTAGGTCTCTCTGGTTGTGGAAGCTGCTGCAGCCTTGCCAAGCAAACAAGTATTCCCAGGCTTTGAAACAGACATTAAAGATCGCATTCTACAGAAAAGAATTCTATCTTCATGTGAAGTTTCATTATTAACGAGGAAGGCAATTTTGAAGTTAACTCTTCCTTGTGTAACCAGAGATACAGCGATGAAGTACATAAAGAGGTTATCAAAATTATATATAAATCATGAAGTCACTTTCGGTTTCTCGTACGACCTCCACAAATTACAGAAAAATGTTAGAGGAAACGTTATATTCCAAATATATTTCTGTATAAAATTAAATTCCAACTTAAATGAAATCGATTTGTACGAAGAGTTAAATCTTTTTAGAAAAATTGTTCCGTAAGAATCATCAGCTCTTGATACACTAATGTGAAAGCCTATGAAATATTCTTAACTTCGGTAAGTCTCATCAGCAGAAAGAGCCTTCCCCAAATTAAAAATTTTGAAAGATTATTTGTGATCTTGCATTTGCCAGGAATTATTGTCAGAGCTTTCAATGAGAGGCATACCTCAGAGATATGGTGGGTTCGGTTCCAGACCACTGTAGTAGTGTACTGCAATAAAGCAAGCCATGGTCTTTTCGCTGGTGGAGGGTCTTGCCTTCGGTTTGTAAAAAAAAAACACCACATCTGTGAAGCTGAATAAAGTGAAATGCAATAAAACGAGGCATGCCTGTGTGTCAGTTGAAATGCAGTTGGCAAAAGTATACATTTTGCTGAATAACATGCAGAAAAATCTAATGGTCAAGCAGATATCATATTGATGTTATTTATTGTGTTATATAAAATTATGACAACGAAATATAGTTCTGCAATTTTAAGTTTATGGTATTAATGTAGGGAGGAGGCAAGAGAATTAAAAATGTTAATCAAGCCACATTCAGAGACTGCAATATACTGATCCAGGCCAAGAGGACACCTGCAGAACAAAGGAAGATTTCTGCTGGATTCTAACAGCCCATTCCCCACACCTGTGAAGGGGAACAGGCACCAAGAGTCCTTCCCTGTGGCTAAAATCATGGGGAACCTAAGGATTCAAGGCTGGGAACCGCCAGCAGGCCTTTCACTCCACAGTTCAACCTTCTCAGGCTGCATACTCTTCCCCTTCCTCGCTGTATGTCCTTATCAAAGGACATGGGAACTAAAGAATGACAAACTGAATTCCCGGAACACTCGGGGTCCCTCTCGGTGCCTTTACTGTCTCACTGTCCCTCTTACCCTCTGCCTCTGAGAGGAGCCCACACTCTGTCCATGGAGCGTTACTCCTTTTCTAAACGTTCCTTTTGACTCTAACGTCGGTGCGTGTGTTGAATTCTTTCTACACCCCCTGCCAAAGACCCCTATTCTCCCAGTGCAGGGCTTGGTCCCCCGTCACCCGGAGAAATCTGCCCTGTCCTGCATCGGTATTACTCAATTATCCCTGTTACCCCATTGCATTTTATAATAAAATATTTTGAAAGGAAAAAGCTTTATATTTTAGTATCCTTAACTGCGTTTTTTTTTTTTTAACTGCTTTTCGAACAACGGGTCCTGCATTTTCCTTTCGAATTAGGTCCTCCGAATTATGTAGGAGCCCTGATTCTGAAAACAAATCGATTATAAGAAAATATTTTGAAAGGAAAAAGCTTTATATTTTAGTACCCTTAACTGCACTTTTTTTTTTTAACTGCTTTTTGAACAACGGGTTCTGCATTTTCCTTTCGAATTAGGTCCTCCAAATTATGTAGGAGCCCTGATTCTGAAAACAAATCGAATATCTCCAAATTGTCCTGACTCTGTTAAAATCCTTTTAGGCTTTTACTGACAGCCTTCCAGTCCAATGAACGGCCATCACATAATTTTTTAAACTGTAGATGGCTGGTCATCTTGAAAGGCTGATCCTGTCCGCTGTGATGTCCTTCTTATCCGTTTCTGAAAGCCAGCTTCTTGACTCGAGACACATTCTTCTGAATGCCTCCCACAGACACACACCACAGGGGGGCATATGGAGTCCTTCAAATGCAGATGTCAATTTTTGAAGTCCTTCCTATGTGACAAGTCCTTTGGTAACTGTGAAGAGTAACTACCTGAATTATGCTGAGAACAGAAAATGCAAATGGAGGGCAGTGTGACTGTTAGGCGATCACAATCCCATTGACCTTGAAGACTGGGGGAAGGGCCCATGCAGGTGAGGCCCAGGTTGAGCAGGGTGAGAGGCTGGACCGGAAGTCGGAGCCCAGCCCTACAGTGCCAGGGGTCTGCTTCCTCCAGCGGGCAGCTGCCCCAGGGCAGGGAGGGCTTCCAGGGGTGCTCCGGCTCTTTCGATTGCAAGCAGTTGCAGCCCTCAGGCCTCCTTAAGGCAGAGGTGGGTAGAACCTGGGTGGGTACATTGGAAACTGCCACTCTCCACTTTCTCTCTGAACCCTGACCTCTTCTAGAGTCTCCACCCATCTCCCTAATCAATCAACCAATCCCTCCTCCCCATCGTGAAGGGCAGCCATCTGATAGGTGTGGTCATGGGAGGCGGGGCATGAAAAACGGCAGGTATTCGCGCCTGTTCAATCAGAGTCCTAGTGGCACTTAGCAAACCCGGAGTAAGGTTGAACTTGCAATGAACAGGGGCTTGGGCGTGGCCGGCACCGTGACTGACAGGCCCATACTGAGGCCAGAGCGGGCCTGCCCCTCCCTGCCAGCGCTTCTTCTACGTGAGAATGATTCTCACATGTACTTCAACTCGCTTGACTCAGTCCATCATTTACTGATTGGCTCCTTCCTCAAATATATCTTGACTTTTTCTACTCTTCTCATTGCCATGGCGACCTTCCTGTCCGAATAATGGGCAGCAACCTTTTGATTGCCATCTGACCACCAGAGTGGTCTTTTTAAAACACACACTGGCGTGGTCACCGGCCCTTCCAGGGGTTCCACGTCACTTAGGAAGAACCATACCTCCTATGGAGGCCTCAAGGCCCTGGCTGTGGGACCCGAGTGCCCTCTGGCCCGCCCCTCCTCATTCTCTCTCCCTTGTATGTGTCACCGTACCTGCCTTCCGCCATTCCCAAGCTCTGTCCCGGCTGGGGACCTCATGTTTCAGTTCCTCTCTCTAGAACGCTCACCAACCCACTTCCTGGCCAGCAAAACCCTGCTCATCTTAGAGAGCTCTGGTCCGTCACCTGCTCAGAGGGGCTGCATCTGCTGACACCCTCAGCACTTACACAATTTACATTGCTGCTTGTATGTGGGGATAGCCTCCATCTTTCCTGCTGGAAACATATCTGTGAGAGCAGGGCCACCTGTTCAGGTTTGAATTCCTAGGCCCCAGCGAAGTGTCTGGCACTTTATAAGGTCTGAATAGATACTGTGCCAGCTAGGGGCCACTAACTTTAAAAGCCGGTCCTGCGAACATATGCAGATGTAAAAGCACGGGAATGATCTGGAAGGAATGAGGCTGAGCTCCTGATCTTGGTTGCCTCTGGGGGCTGGGGAAGGAACCAGGATAGGGGATGGTGACCAGGTGTCCACACACACGTAAGTTTGGGGTTTAGGGAAGGGGCTGGGATAAGGACTGGTGATGTGTGTACGCGCGTGTGTAAGCTGTGTGTGCATGCACGTGTGTAAAGCTGGGGAGGGGCCCTGGCTTCAGATGCAATGATTTTACTTTTTGATAAACAGTGATGAACAAATAAAACATGTCCCAGGTCAGGGGGGACAGTGGGTTGGCAGTCACAAGCCACACACAAAAACAAAACACACTATGACACGCCACAATCCACTGGTGGGTTTTGAGTCTTCACTTTATTTACTGTCACCAGAAGTCACCACCTTTACTTGGTTCACCACAAATGGACGGATGTCATAAAGGAGGGTGCCATGGGGCCATTGGATTCACTCTTGAGACTTGACCAGGTGGTGGGGGGAGTCCAGAGTGGGCGCCCGGGATGGGGACCGCCATTCACTGCACACACGCGCACACACACAGATACATTTGTGGAGCCTTATATTATACATCTTATATATAGAAAATATATATATTTATACTATACACAGGCAGTAATGCTGCAGAAAGGGCCGGGTCACCCAGACAAGGGCTGTGGGCACCAGGGGAAGGGAGTGTCACATCAACAGACAGCGCTGGGAGGCAGGTGGACCAGCCCATCCTCTCATAAACTCTCGGGAGAGATGCTCCCCCTTTGTGCTCCTTAGAGAATCGACGGGGTCTTGGGCCAAGATTGGGGGGCCCCCGAGTGGTAACAGGTGGGGGCTGTTGGTTACATGGGGAAAGCCTGGGACCCCACAAGAGTCTGTGAAGATCAAGAATCACCAGGGGAAGGTTAGAGCAGGGAGCGGACCAGTCTCCTGGTAATTAGCCCCTCAGTGGTTACAGCCCCGGGGGACCAGGAGCCACACCCAGGCAGTCAGCCTGGGAATGCACAGGACGAGTGCCAACTCAGAGGCAGGACACCTGGATCCCGAACCTTGAGCTCTGTGCCTGACTTTGGACAAGTCACTGTCTTCCTGGCCCAGACTCCAGGGGCCCTTGCATGGAACCCGGTTTTCCTGGGCCTTCTCTTGTTCTTGATGGGAGAAGGAACCCAAATGAGAGGGCAGGATGCCGGGGGCCTCCGCCAAGGAAAGGCTTGGAAGCAAGGGGGTACAGCAGGGAGGGAAAAGGGGATACTGGTAGCTTGGGAGCACAGGCTTTCAGCTTGGGGCCCCAGGGGGTCCTCAGCTAACAGAAAGAGCCGGGCTTCCCCACCAACCTCTCAGTAGGGGTCAGGAGCTCTGGGTCTCATCCAAACTCTGCCTCCTGACATCTCTCGCCTTGTTTATCACCCCCGCCATTGGCCCCTGCTGGTGGGGTCGTGTCCAGGCTGTACCTCAGATGAGTGAGGAATGCTGAGTGAGAGGATTCTGTGCCCCCACTCCTGGCAGGGGTCTTATAAACTTTCCTAGGCTGGGGTGGTAGGGAGAGTCTGCAATCAACACCCAGGAGCTGGGTGAAGCTTAAATGTACCCTGCCCTTCACCCCAGCTTTTGCCAGAGCTGGTTGGTGCTCAGGGAGGACAGACAGGCAGCACCCTGGGGTCTCCCAGTGCCCTTCGGCAGGGGAGGTTTCTGGTGGAGAGTGGGCAAGGAGACAGACTTCTCACAGCCTCCTGCATGGACACAGAACTTCTGCCACAAACATATCCACACCGGCTTGCACCCTTACCTGCTCTGCAAACCTCTGGTCTGGTACAGCCTGGCAGATACCATGACCCCATCCTGTTTCCCCTTGGGCCACCTGGAGGGAGAGGATCACAGATAGAGCCCCTTCTCCGGATGGAGAAAACTGAAGTCAGCAACAATCAGCTGTCACTTGGCTGTCTGGGGTCCTCTTCCGTCACTGCTGCCCCTTGGGAAGACTTGAACAGACCTGAGTTCGGATCCAAGCCCCATGGCTAACTCACACGCTCTGAACCTGTTTCCCTTTTTGTTAAGTGGGGACGATGCTACTTTTCTGCCTAAGGGATTCCTTCTCCTGCCTCATTGCTGTGCTAACTCCTGCCATCCCAGGACCCTTCTCCAGGAGGCTCAGCCCGTCGTGCACCCGTACAGCCCTCTGCTCAGCAATGCACCCTGGTCCAGTGGTCTAGTGCTCATCTCTGACCGACTATCAGCGCCTTATCCCAAGCACAGGTGCCCCATGCTGAATCAGTGGGCAGGTGAGTGAATATTACCTGCCTCTTAGGGTTCTTGTGGGGGTGCTGATGGTGGCTATACCCAGCACTGTCCCTTTGCCCTGCTCCCTGAGGCTCTGGGCCCCAGGTCTTCCCACACCTTTCTCCACTGCTCAAGGCCTCCTTGTCCCGTAAGGCTCAGGGAGGAGCCTGTCATATACAGGAACCCCTCCTTGCCCCGCATAACTCTCCTTGTGCCTTGGGGACACCTGCTACCCTCTCCCCTACAGCCCATAGCCTCCCTGAGCCTACTATGCTCCAGAGGCTCTCACCATTCATCTCGGGGGAGTTTGTCCCACAGCAGCAGCTCCAGGCTGGCCATGCAGGGTCCAGAGCCCCTGCCCTCTCTACTCACCCTCCCACAGGGAGACCAGCCCCAGTGGGCCTTCTGGAAGGCCAGAGGAAGGACCCTCCATGCCCTTGGCTACTGCAGCCCCTTAGCCCCTGCCTGACCCTGGTGAAGGGAAAGATGACACAGTGTCCCAGATCAGTTCTGTTTCCTGGGAGGTCACAAGGGCAGGGAACTGGGGCACTGGCTGGGTGGCTGGAGCCAAGAAACCCAAGCAGCAAGCCCAGCTCTGCCACTCGCTCACTGTCACCTTGGGCCAACTGCTCCCCCTCTGGGCCTCCTCGTCCACCCAACCCTGAGCAGGGTCATAGTGAACCCCTCCTAGAGGCAGGAACAATGGTCAGTCCTCTGGCAGGCCACAGAGGCGGTGCTGAGCTCCTGAGGGGACACACGCAGAGTGATACAAGGGGACATTCCCACGCTGGGCGGGGCCGTTGGGGATGTGGGGAGAGGGCCTGGAGGCAGGGCTGTCCCGCTGGGGAACATCTGAGGCCCTAGCTTGCAGCAGAGTCAGGGTATCTCACAGGCTGGGGTCCCCAAGGCTTCCCAGAATAAGAAGAGCACTGAGCAGTGGAGCCCCAGGCTTGGGGACAGGGGAAGGAAGGAAGGGAAGACAGGGGACAGCAGGTGCTCTGCAGTCAGGTGGCCTGGGCTTGGTCCCACCTCCACCACCTGCTGTCTGAGTGACCCTGGGGGAGTGACCCTGACTTCTCCAGGTCTGTTTCTTCAACCGTAAAACGTAGACAGCCCATCACTTCTAGCAGGGCTGCTGTCTCCTAGCAGGTGTCATCCCCCAGTGTCATTCCGCCCTGCAGCCAAACCTCCCAGCACCATCCTGGTCTCTGTTCCACCTGCCGGTACCAACAGGGCCTCCTCCACCTCTCGTCTTCCCCCTTCCCAGAGACCCTTTCTCACTCACATCCGTGCTAAGCACGGGACAGATAAACAGTAGGCGCTCAATGAATGTTCGATGACACAATGAATGAATGTCAACACCCCAGACCCCTGCTGGACACACTCGCACACACAGGTAGACACCCCCACACGCACATACACACCTTACCTCCCCACCCCACCCCAAGCTGCCCTGGACCTCAGCGGAACCACCAGGAGGCTGGTGAGATGCTGGGCAGGGCAGCCTGGGAGAGCAGGGGGCGGGTGTGGAGGGAGGGCCGAGGGGGCAGCTGGGGCTGGGGCAGGGGCAGGCAGGGGGCAGGCGGTCACTGCGTCTCAGTAGCCCTGCGACTGGTAGCCCTGGGGCTCAGTGTCGAAGGCGTTGGCCGGCTGCTGGTAGGTGCCACCCACGCCGGCGGGGTCCGGCCCAGCGCTGGGCTCCACGTAGGGGGCATAAGGCATGCTGGAGTCCTGGCTGGGGTCCATGTAGTCCTGGGAGAAGAGGGCCGAGTCGGCGCCAATCTGGTACCGCTGGAAGGCCAGCACAGCCTGGCCCGCCTGAGGACGGGAGCCAGTGGGGACAAGGACAGGCGGGAGGGGATGGTTAGGGGAGAGACAGACAAGAGCACCAGGTTAGTGGCGGTTAGTTCACAGGACACAGGCAACAGAGAGTTAAATATCCTCCAAGCACCAAAGACGAAACCAAGCTTGACTGAGGGGAAGGAAGGCTGTCCTTGCCGCCAGCCCTGGACAGGCCCGGTTCATCGTCCAGCCAGAAAGGACTTCAGCGGTCACCTGCCCCATGGCCTCCAATCCCAGAGGTCGTCATTCTGGGCCACCCAAAATTCTAGAGTCTCCACTGTGGAGTGTTAAAATGGCCCAAAGGCCCACAACTTCCTTCTCAAACTGTGTTCTCAGGGCTGTTATGTGGAATGAGGTGAGATAGAGCTGTTGGCATCTCCTAAAAATCGTTGTTTCTCTTGCTAGGTGCAGCCGTGTGACTAGGTTCTGGCCAACAGGTCGCCCCAAGTTCTTTGTCCCACCTTTTGACGTGATGCCTGGAACATAGATGTGATAGTTGGAGCTCTAGTTGCAATGCTGAACCATGAGGTTCAGGAGCCAAATTGTAGGGATGGAAGAGGCCTGGGTCACTAAAGATTTCTGGAGCCGGTTGGGAAAAACTTATCTATAGCATACATGCTTTTTGGAAATTCTTTTTAGGTAAAAGCAGTTATACTGTCATTAAGGACAATGACATTAACTACACTGGGAATAAATTACATCTGTCATTAAAAAAACAGTTTATAGGTTTACATTGAAAGTCTCTCCAGAGATCTGTCCAGCCCAGGTTATCTGCCTGTGATGGAAAAACGCTAACGGTCTACATATCTCTGTCTGGGGGCTGGAGAGACCGAGGCCTAAAGAACGGAGGCCTCAAGGCAAAGTCAGTGTTGGAGCCCAGATCGAGACACGGGGCTCCTGTCCCTGCCCAGGCCAGGGCCCTTCCCACCTCCTTCCCTTCGATCAGCCCCCAGACAAGGCATTAAATCAAAAGGGCCATCAGGTCAGAGGCAGGTGCTTGGCATTTTATTCCAGAAAGTTCCAGAAGCCCAGTGACTAGGCATTAACTTTTGATTCGTGTCCCTGGAGAAAGCTGAGGGGCAGCCCTTTTTGGGAAGTGGCTGTTCAAAGCAAAGTGTCAGGGGCCTGGGAAGTCAGGCCCAAAGGAGCTGGGCTGGGGAAATCAGACGTGGCCCTGTTGTTGCATTTTCCACTGTGTAGGTGTGAGGTCCTGGCTGCTTCGGGGCTCAGACGCAGGAGCCTTGAGAAGCAGGGAGGCAAAGAGGCCCCCTGGAATAGCGGCCAGGCCTTCAGCAGCCTGGAGCCACAGGCGGGCCCGCAGGAGCACACGGGGCAGTGAATGAAGGACATCTGCAGACCTGGCTCTCCCGGAGCTCCCAGGCTCCGCTCTGCAGGCTGGTTTCCTGCACGGAGACAGAGGGCTGGAGCAGATGAGCTCTGCAGATCCTCTCAGGGAGAGGCCTCTGGCTACGGGCACCTAGTGCAGACTGTGGGCGCTCCTGTGCCCTCGCTGAGTCAAGGCCTCCCTTAGCCACTCAGTTCAAGGGGCCGTAAGACAGGAGCAAAGGAGTGCTGGACTGGAGTGCAGAGGGGAGGCTGGAGCCTAGGGACCTGGTGGTCCACCTGGCCTTGCATCTTCGGAGCAGGTACAGTCTCTGGAGCCTCTCCACTGTGCTGCAAGCAGCCTGCACTTGTATGCCTCCAGTGTTAGGAAGCTCACTCTCTGCGTGCTCTGCTCTGGGAGCCTGATTGTGCTCCATGACTTCTTCGACCCCTGCAGAGAGTAGATCCAGGGGTTCCTGCCCATGCAGCTGATGGCCCCAAAGAGGGAAACTGTGGAGAAGTGGAGGCCAAAGTCCTTTGGAAGAACAAGGACTCACCGCTTGAGGGTCACCCCTAAAGTCGATATTATGGAGGTGTCCCTGACTCCTTGGAGAGAACAAACGAACGAATGAACGAATGAATGAATGAATGAATAAGTGAATAAACGAAAGAACGAAAGAGCCTACATTTATGGAGCATCTCTGTGCCAGCCTCCATTTCATCTGCACAACAGCCCCAAGAGGTTGGTCCATGATCACTCCTCAGTCCAGGGATGTGGACGAGGCTGAGGCGGGCAGGGGTTTGCCCAGGGTCACACATCGCGTGAGAGCAGAGCTGGGCCAGGCATCCTCCGATGTCCTCGGCCAGGCCACCTTGGCAGCCAGCTGCCACGGGAACTGTAAGATCAGCCTTCGCACCGCAGCTGTGGGACAGGCTCTCGCACTGTCCATGGTTCAGCACCCTGGCAGCCACGTGCATGGAGCCATCTCCAACTCTCTAACAGCCTGCAGCAGTCCTCTCTGAGGGGGATTTTGATTTGTCTGTCTTCCCCACCACAGCCTGTGGGCTCCTGAGGCCTGGGACCCCATTGGATTCATCACTAGGCACAAAACTGCTCAATAAATGTTTACTGAATGCATGGACACATGAAGAATAAACAACGGAGGCAATGAATGAGTAAGTGGTGAGTCTTAAGTGGCCTCTCAAACCAGCCTTCCCCTGCCCTGCGAGCCCTGGCATTCTGGCCATTCCAGGCAGCAGGCTGCCCCCACAACCTCGCCATGGGGCAGGACACCGGGCTCCCTGATTCTGGAAACCAGGTAGGCCTACGGCTGTGCTGAATCGGGAAACAGCGTGCTGTATTCCTCCTGGAAGGTAAGGTCCTTGAATCTCCGCACGGCCAGGGCTGCGGTCAGGCTCTGCCAGGAGAGAGCAGGGGTGAGGCCAGCGCGGGGGAGCTGGGAAGGGCAGAAGCCAGCAGGGAGGCAGGCTTCAGTGGACCAGGGGGTACCTGTCAGTCAGGCTTTCAGACCCGGCCACAAAAGTCCTGAGGTCCAATCACACACTCCCGCTCTGTGAGCCCTGCCCCCACCTCAGGGCTCACTGCTCTCAAACTCCTGCCTGTAGGGCTGGGTGGTTCCCACTTCCAGGGCACCTTCTCTGGTCTGAGATCCCCTAGGGTCACTGGGTTCTTCCTGCCCAGCCTTGAGGACAGAGCTCTGGAGTGACCACAGGTCGCCTCCTCTAAACTCTAGCTCCCACTATTGTATTGGGAGGAGGGGTCCCAGGAGAAAATGGATATCTAGGGCCCTCTAAAAGAGAAGTCACCCTAGGCAGGCCCAGGAGGGTGGGGGCACAGGGAGGGCTGGCTGCCTGTATAGAGGCCCAGGGACTCCTTGCAGAAGGCCAGGCTGAGGGCTGCTCCAAGGCCTGGGGGTGGGGTGGGTGTGGGGCTCTGGACAGTGGTGGAGGGACTCTTAGGATGGAGACATGAAGCCGATGTGACCCCAGATATTTGCAGGAGGGAGATGAAGAGAGAAGAAATAAATCGAGATGACCTGGAACTCAACTCCAGGGGACGGTCTTGCTGTCATGCTGGTGGGCTCTCCAGACCACGGGGTTCCGAACTGCCCTCTGGCCATTCCGGCCCAGACACATGCTCTCCTTGACCCATTGAATATTTTTCAAAATTTGAATAAATTGCTAACACATAAAGATCAGATTTCACACAGAAATTCAAATTTCTGGCTTCTCTGGAAAACAGAAGACCTGGCCTCTGGGGGTCCTCATGGGGTCCTCATTTCTGCTTCGGAGCAGAGGCCGAGCAGAGGGGGCCATTTCAGGACAGGTGTGGACGTACCACCCGGCCTGCTCATGCCTTCTCACGCCCTGTCTGGCCGGTGGACAGCTGAGTCTGCGACATCTTCCCCAAATCCGATATCCTGATTTTACAGGTGGGAAGACAGAGGCCCGGAAAATCAGAGGCGGCCCCAAGGTGAGACCCAGGTCTCCTGACTCTGAGGCCCGGGCTCCCTCCCAGCTCTGGAACCTTGGAGGCTTAGCTCCCTGTGCAGGCCTCGGCCTTCCTGTCTGTTAGTGAGGACCGTAAACACTCATCACCCGGCGACCATGGTGGGCACTCTGCACCAAAGCGAGGGTCTGCCATCACCCCGTGACTGTCCTCACCGGCAGTGGGGACAGTTTCCTTCCTCGGGGGCAGGCCCGCCTGCGTGTTGAGGAGAGAGCCCCTGGCGAGGCTGGAGGGCCCCAGCCCGTGAGCCTGGCGGGCTGGGTGAGTGTGGGCTGGGCGGGCTGTGTACTCACCCATGTGAAGATGGAGAAGAAAGAGAAGGCGATGGCGGCCCGGGCTGCGTCCGACCCTTCGTTCAGCGGGTTGTCCTTGGGCTTGGAGACCTGCCACTGATTGGCCAGGTAGCAGAAGCCCACGAACCAGAGGAAGGCCCAGAAGGCTGCAGGGTGTCCACCAGCGTCAGGCAGAATGGGCCATGTGAGGAGAGAGGGGGCAAGCGGGGAGGAAGTGGGGGCAAGTGGGGGAGGTTCAAGAGCACGTCTCTCATGCTCCCCCACCCCGAAAGAGTGGGGAGGGGCAGGAGGGGAGCATAGGGAAGGCGAGGCGAGAACAGAGAGGTCAGGCAGAGGCACAGCCAGAGAGAGACACGGAAAGGAGCCAGCCAAGGCCCAGGAAGAGGCGGGGCAGTGAGAGGGAGGGCGGGAGGGAGAGAGAGAGAAAGTCCGTCAGCCTCGGCTGGCGTTTCTCTAACCTCTGCCAAGCACAGACTTCCCAGCCATCTCAGACTGGCCCACTGTCCACCCTGGGGCCCTGTGGCATTCTGGGAGGAGCACCCCGTCCCCACCCCACTGCAGGCTCCCAGAGAACTGGGCAGGGGGAGGGTTACAGAGGCTGGGGCAAGGATGTAGCTCAACTCTGGCAGGTCTGAGCCTCAACCTCTAATGTGCCTGCAGCCTCACAAAGTCCCCGAGGTTAGCGAGGGGCCCTTTGAGCCATGGTCTGGGGAGTTCAGCAGTGGGAGCCCTGTGGTAACAAGATCTTCCGTGGTGCCCAGGGTCTCTTCGGAGAGGGCCAGAGTGTGTGTGCCCAGGAAGTGGGGTGTCTAGCGTCCAGTCCCTCCTAGAGGCACTGTTGGGGAACCCTGGGGCTCCAAGCAATACAGTTTGAGAACTATTAATTTTGTTTTAGTTCCTTTAAGTCTAAGGGACCCCCGACCTTGTCAGGCTCACTCTGAGAGTCCCAGGCCTGGAAATGGGGGGAGGTCCCTCCTAGAGACCTGAGACCAGGGCCTCAGGCCAGAGAGGCGGGAAATCTGATGACCTCCAACCTAAGCCTCCACTAATCAGAACCCCTAGACTTGTGGGACCACCATCAGGGTACCTCTGCCAAGGCCATTTCTGAAGGGCAAGAGCAACAGGTCACGTCAGCTCCCCAGCTCTAGATTCCAACCCTCCCAGGGTCCCCACTGTGTGCCTTCGGTTACCACCCTGTTTAGTTCTCATGGGGCTCCGCCAGGGAGGTGGCACAGCAGAGGCCACTGAGAGCTGAGATGGACATTGTACTCCCTCCCCTGCTGTGGCTGTTCTGGGATCTCAGGCCAGCCATGGTCCCACCAGTCCCCGTTGCCAGTCCTGTGACCCCAAGTCTAACCCTTCAGCCACCTCGCAGCTGTGCATGAGGATTAACAGGAGCAGGGCCGGGACGGCCCTCTGCACCCTGCGGTGTGGAGGGGGCACCCTCTGGGGTAGGGACTCACCCGAGACACCGATGTCGGACAGGACGGCTTTCTTGCGGTCCTTCACGCTGCTGATCTGCGGGAAGTACACGTCCAGGGCCAGGTAAAGCAAGCAGGTGAGGAAGGCGAGCACACCCACGGTCACGCCGTAGCTGCAGGCGTTGGGGTTTCGGTTGTAGATGCAGAATTCTTCGGCCTCCGACGGGGTGTTGAGGTAGCCCTCGTTCACGATGGAGCCGAACACCACAATAGAGAACACCTGTGGAGGGCGGGGCAGGGAGGGGCGGGGGCGGGCATGAGAGCTGGGCAGGGCGCTACCGACACCCCTTGACCTGCTTGCTGCCCGCCCCTCTGTGAGCCCTCTTCACCCCGGACAGCAGGCCTTTCAGAGCGGAGGCCCAGAGACGGTGTCACGCAGCACAGGTGGGATCAACTGCTTCCTTCCTCAGCTCCAGGCACTGAGGACCCTCTGACCACAGATGTGGCCCCCCAAACCTGCCAGGTCCTGAGAGGTCTTCCTGGGCCCTGACACCACGGTTCCTGACACCAAGGACTGGACCCGGCCTTCCAGAGCCAGCCGTCTCACGTCCTCCTGGGCTGTGAACCTTCTAACCCTCCGCCCCCATCTGTGCCGCCCTCCCCTCTGCAGAGCTATGGGCTGTTCTGGGGTCTCAGGCCCTGTCCTTGGTCCCACCCTTGGCAAGTGGAAGGAGCGATGAATGAAAACACCACCAGTCACAGTCCTGTCAGTTACGAGGCAACCTGTACCACCCGGTGTGTTACACGTGGTGCCTCGTTTGACCCCCACCAACAACCCTCCCCAAATGGTCTACTTCAGTTGGGCTGGCAGCCAGCTACGCTGCCCCATGACCCGCCTCCTGGTGTTCACACCCTCATGCAGACTCCTTGGCCTGGACTGTGAGCTGGGCCTAGTGATCTGCTACAGAACGTGGCGGAAAGCGGTGGGATACCACTTCGGCGAGGAGGTTACGAAGACTCTGCCTTCCATCTCGTTCACTCTCTCCTGCCTCCTCTCATTTGCTCGCTCTGATGTTAGCAGATGCCCCGTTACGAGCCGCCCGTGGAGAGGCCCGCCTGGCAAGGAACAGGGGGCGGCCTCCAGCCAACGACCAGCAGGGAATCGAACCCCTCAGTCCAACAGCCCACAAGGAGTCGAGTCCTGCCGACACCATGTGAATTTGAAAACGGATCCATCATCAGCCTTCAGATGAGACCACAGCCCTGGCTGACACTGCAACTGTAGCCTGTGACAGACCCTGAGGCAGTGGCACTTAGCTAAGCAGATTTCTGACCACAGGAACTCTAAGAGGGCAAATGTTTGTTATAAGCCACCACGTTTTTGGGGTAATTTGTTACGCAGCAATAGCTAACTAATACAAAATTAGGATCATTGGCATTTTGCAGATGAGGCAGTTGAGGTGCAGGTATCAGTAATGAGCCTAGAGTCACACAACTGGTGAGTGGTGGAGCTGGCTTCAAACCCGGGGACTTGACTCTAAAGCGCACGCTTTTCCTCTTGCCTCTCGCCTGCTTTGAAACTGTATGAGGATGAAGAAAACCAAACCCAATAGACACACAGGAAGGTGGAGCCTCAGGTGTGGCCTGCGGTGAGCTCGTGGCGGAGGCCGGGGGCATTCCCATCATCCATTTTCCACCTCTTTGTTTTCCAATTTTTCTATAAGAAACTTTAATATCAATATAAGCCAGACATATTTTCATCCTCGGCTAATGCCCAGGATGGCTAGTGATTCCAGGGCAGGTATGCCAGACCTGGACAGGGGGCTACCAACACCCCTCAGAAAAAATATGAGAAGCGTTATTATTTTTCTATCTCATCTTTTTAAGATGACCATACTTCACGTCGGTTTTATAATGTACTGGATATATTAGTGTAGTAATAACATACATAAAACTAATCTACATTTAATGGGAGGACTGATTCAAAAATTTTTCCTGAAGGACTGAGTGGTTAAAAGTTTGGAGACCTCTGGTTCATGACTCTCTGTGTTCAGAAGGATTCTGACCTAAATGCCATCAGTGGATGAACGGAGAAGCAAGTCAAAGCATATCCATACAATGGAATATTATTCGGCCATAAAAAGGACCACAGTTCTGATACATGTTACAACTGGATGAACCTTAAAACACGTGGGGAAAAAAAAAAAGTGAAAGCAGCCAGACACCAAAGGTCAATATTATATGATTTCTTTTATGTGCTATATCCATAATAGAGACAGAAAGCCGGCTAGAGGTACAGGGGTAAGGGGCAGAAGAACAGGGAGCAATTGCTTAATGTGTATGGGGTGTTTTATGTGTTAATAAGTTTTGAAACTAGAAAGAGGTAGTGGCTGCACAACATTGTAAATGCACTAAATGCCACTGAATTGTACACTTTAAAATTGTTTATTGTATGTTATGTGCATTTTTCTACAATTAAAAAAGAGAAAGCATTGTGGGGCTGTGTCCTGGTCCGGCCCTGGGTACAGAGGTGGGCTGTGGGCCACACCTGCTGGAATGCACGCACAGCCACAGCCCTTCAGAGCCATGCAGGCGTCCTGACTCACAGCTCTGCCCTGTCACAGAGGGGGCGACTCGTACTGCCCCCCATTAACAGAGGAGGAAAACTGAGGCTCAGAAAGATTATGATGCTGTTGTTAGCAATACAAGCTGAACTTGAACCCAGGTCTCCCGATTCTCAGCCCTGTGCTCTTTTCTGCCAGACCAAGCTCTCAGCCTCAGGAAGTGGGTCCTGAAGAAGGGGTGTCATTTCCTGAGACCCCAGGGACCCGCAGGGAAGCATCAGTGTGACTGGGTCAGGCAGTGTGTTTGGAGAGCCATGTCGGGTACTCAGGGGCCCGCAGGGGAGAGGCAGGAAGTCCTGACTTCAAAGCGCCTCCTGACAGTCCTTGGGAGCTGGAAGAGACCTCGTGGCTGCCAGAGGGGAAAAGGGTGGACCCCATTCCAAAAGCAGGCCAGAGGAGGTGAGAGGGGAAGCAGGTGGCCAAAGTCTCCACTCAGAAGGAACCACTGAGCTGGGCCCTCTTGAGGGAGACTGGGAGCTGGAAGAGACCTCGTGGCTGCCAGAGGGAAAAAGGGTGGACCCCCTTCCAAAAGCAGACCAGAGGAGGTGTGAGGGGAAGCAGGCGGCCAAAGTCTCGGCTTTGGGGACAGCAGAGAAGGAACCACTGAGCTGGGCCCTCTTGAGGGAGAGAAGCAGGGAGTCCTCGGAGAGGCCAGGAGGAAAGTGCCGGAGACCATGTACCCCCAAGAGGGTAAGGAGCAAGATCAAAACACCCTCCGAGGGACAGGGCTCAGGGCAGAGCGGAAGGAGGAAGCTTTGCAACAGCTCCCTGCTCCGTTCTCAGGCCTCTAGGCTGCTGCATCCCACCGGCCCCCACGGCCCTGGTCAGGCATCCATCACAGATCAAAGGCCTCTGGGTGCCTGGCACCGGGCTGGGAGGGGGCATCAAGGGGTAAGCACATCCACGAAGACCTTGCCGGGGAGCTGACAGTCTGGAAGGGCAGGAGTGAGGGGCTGAGAGTCTGGGTCAGACAGTGGGGCTTGCGGAAAACTAGCTTGGCCACTCATCTAGTGGGTGACCTTGGGCTAGTGACTTGACCTCTCTCAGCCTCGGTTCCCTCCTCCGTAAAGTGGGGCAGCAACAGCACCTAAACCCCTGACTGCTGTGAGGGGTGAATGAGATCATGCGTGCAAGATGCAGCACGTGACACGGGGTAAGCAGCCCCCAAATGCCAGACTGACACTGAACCGTGGAACGGGAGGGAGGTGGTCAGGGAAGGGAGCTCGACGCGGTGATTTCTGAACTGAGATGAGAAGGAAATTCGGGGGGGACGCGTGTTTCAGGCAGAAGAACAGAAAGGGCAGGAGGAGGAGTGTGGCTGGAGCAGGGACCAGGGAGCTGGGGCTGGAGGGGTAAGAAGGGGCAGGCGGGGGCAGGAGAGGGGACAAGGCCCGGTGGGCCACAGTGCGGACACGGAATGTAAATCATACAGTGAGAGGAATCACAGGAGAGTGATGAGATCTGGCTCTGTGGATCGCGGTCCCCACCCTGCAGCACGAAGGTCACTAAAGTGGTTCCCCACCACCTCTGGAGACAATCCATGCTTCTAGGGCTGGTGGTCAAGGTCTCACTTCCCTGTACTTCTCATCAACCACCTGCTCCCCGGCCTTCTCACGCCCCAGGCCCTTCTCACTATTTCCTCTGGGGAAGGTGGTTTCCACATTACAGGTCCTGAGCAGTAACTCACTTTTGTGTTTATGTTCAGTGGAGGTGGCGTGAGCTGCCAGGTGGCCCCTTGGTTCAGCATGTGCTTTCCTGGGAGCTGACCCCTCTGCACCCATAGGGCCCCCCCGCGTCTGGGGCCTGGGAGGCCTCATCTCAGAGGCCAGAGACCTGGAGTGTGCCATCAGTCATTCATTTTTCAACATTATTTCCTGAGGCCCTAGTACGTGACAGGCCCTGTGCGAGGCCCAAGAGGCGGCAAGGTCCCTGTTCTCACCGAGGGAGACAAACAGGAAGCGAATAAATATGTAGGGAAGTCCTGGCAAGTGTCCTGAAGAAGCACAAAGCAGAAAGAAAGCTGGACTGGGTGACTGGAGGGCATGGCGGGGCTCCAAGGAAGTGACCTCTGAGTAGATGACCAACATTGCGGGGAGAAGTCACTACAAGTGCGAAGGCCCTGGGGCTCGAATAAGCTTGGTGTATTGAGGAGGCCCATGGAGGCCAATGTGGCTGGGGCACAGGTGACTGAGGTAGGCAGGGGCTGGCCCTCAGTGCCTTGAGGAGCAGGATGAGTTCCGGAACCACTTCAGGTTCAAGAGCAGGCACGTGACTCGACCTGACTTAGGTTTGAAAAGAATCACCCTGGCTGCAATGCAGAAAAAAGACTGTAGGGGCAAAGGTGGAAGCGGGGAGACCAGCTGGGGGCTGAGCAGTGCCCCTGTGAGGGATGCGGGGGCAGGGGCTGGGCTGGCGTGGGCAATGGTGATGGTGAGAAGTGCTGGGTGCTGAATGTATTTTGAAGGTAAAGCCACCAGAAGCTGCTGACAGGTCTGCTGTTGGGAGCAAAAGGAGGAACAAAGGGCAGGTGGGGGAGGAGTTGGGTGTGACAATCAGGAACAGAGCTGCGCCTGCCAGGTCCCCGCAGGCTGCAGGGCTGGGCCAGGACAGAAAGCCTCACTTGCACCAGGCCTGGGAGTCTACAGATGGAGAAACTGAGGCTCGGAGAAGGGAAGAAACATTGCCAAGGACACACCACCAGCCCCTGCGGTCCCCCAAACTCCCTTTGGGACCCTACAGCCCAGTTTAACTTCTCTGTTCATCTGTGATCTCCCTGACCGAATGGGAAGGAGCCCCCCCTGGGCCTCAGTTTCCGTTCCTCAGCTGCATCTGGGGACCTGCCCAGGTCACTCGAACCTGAGTCTCTGAATCCAAGCTGGTGCCCTGCAGCCTCTGGGGTGACTTGCTAGGGCTGGATCTTCAGGGACAGCAAAGTGCACACAGAGCAGCCACCAGAGAACCGGAAATTAAACCGGAATGAAATTCTACGCTGCACGCTGTTGGCATAGGGAAAACACCCCAACAAACAGGCCTACAGCAGGGATGGGAGTCAGGTCTGCGGAGGCAGAACCACCGCAGGAAGCAGCAAGAGGATGAAGGGAGGGCGGTGTCGGGGAGGACCCAGAAGGCCGCTGGTCACTGGCAGGCACAGGAAGAACCTCTTTCTCTTGAGCTAGAGAAAAATGTTAAAAGAAAAACAAAAACAAAACCCCACCAAGGTAAATGGGCCAAGGCTGGTTTTTCTTTTTTGTTTTGCCATCTTTATAATCCAATCCTGGCTCTTTTTAAAAATGGATTCCAGATGGCGCTTGGAGCAGAGCCGTGTCCAACTCAGGAAAACAAATCAGAAGGAATCTCAGAATTCTGGAATTTCGGGATCTTGGGCTACTGGATTCAGCTACGTACA